GTGTGTGTGTGTGTGTGTGTGTGTGTGTGTGTGTGTACCACCATTCCCGTCTGTTGTCATCTTACTTCGGCTTCTCAGACCCTAACGTCTTCTCCAGGACAGCGCTGCTGGTGATAAGTTGTTTTCACTTCTTCGTGTCTGAAAGGCCCTTCTTTTCTTTGCATTATTGAGCGCTAGTTTTACTGAGTAAAGAATTCTAGAAAGACTGAGTTTTTGTTTTTCTTTCAATACATTAAAAATGTTGCTCTCTCATGTTTTAGCTTGCCTGCTTTCCAATTTAAAAAAAATAGAAGAAGCCTGCTGTCATTCTTATCTTTGTTTTTATTTGTAATGTGTTTCTTCTCTGACCACTTTTACAAGTTTCTTTTTATCATTGGCTTTGGAGAAATCTCATTATCCTGTGACTTTATTTCTTTTTTTTTTTTTTTTTTGATGTGTGTGTGTGTAAGAAAGAGTAGAATGCACTAAAAAGTCTTGGTTCTGTACATTTGTAATTTTCATCAAATGGAAAATGTGCCCATTAGGTCCTCAAGTATTTTTCCCATCTCCCCACCACCAGCTAGTCCCATGCTCCTTTGTGACCTTGAATGCCATGTCTGAGAGGTGTGTGTCCCCCCACGGCTCACTCGCACTCACCGTGTTTCATTTTGGAGTGTGTCTACCGCCATCTTCAAATTCGTGATATTTTCTTCTTTGGCATTTAATCTACGCTCAACCCCATCGGGTGTATTTTTTTATCTCCGACATTTTCATTTTCATCTCTACGAATTCAATGTGGGCCTTTAAAAAAACGTTTCCTGTCTTTATTTAACGTGTTCCATTCTTTGCGTGAGGTCCTTGAAAGCGCAGGACAGAGCTGTGATACGTATGTCAAGCTCCTTGTCTGTTAATTCGGTCATCTGTGTCATTTCTGGGCCAATCCGCACTGGTTTGGGATTCCCTTCCATGTAACTTCTCTGTGCCTGCTCCTTTGCATGCCAGGTAATTTTTGATTGGTTGCCAGGCATTGTGAATTTTCCCTTCTTTGGTGCTGGATATTTTTATGCTTCTGTAAATCATCTTGAGCTTTGTTTGGAGAACATAGCTAAATTACTTGGGAACAGTTCTATCCCTTTGGGTCTCACTCATATCAGATCGGACATTCCCTCTTCCTTTCCATTAAAATCTTGATTGGAGCATTTCTTTATGTCACATTTATGACATTTATGCTCTGTATCCGTGATCACATTGATTTTAATCTCTAATTTGGCGTTCACATCAATAATGGACGTTATTTTTATAGATCAGTGTAGGTTTTACAGAAATATTGTGCAGAAAGGACAGAGTTCCTGTGTCACCCTCTCTCTTTGTACTCAGTTTCTCCTCATATTAATGCCTGACTACGCGTGCTCCATTTGTCACAAGGGATGAACCAAGAGGGTCGGTCCCTGTTTTGGTTCATTCCGTTCTACACAAGGTCCCACGACGGAAACCAACACAAGAGCAACTAAGAACGGTTGACATTAGGGTTCACGCTTGGCGTGGTCCCCGGCGATGGTGCTATGGGTTTTGATAAGTGCACAATGGCATGTGTCTACCGTGAGAGGATCATACAGAGTAGTCCCACTCCCTTTCACACACCCCGTTAAGCATGCCCTCGTCACAATGTTGATGGGCCAAATTGATCACTCCTGGGATCTCATTGAGGACATTCAGCTGGAGTGACGACAGGCAGCTATTGGAATGGCTACCATCCCGTTCAGGCGCTCACCTGACAAATGTCGGGTACAGCTCGGCGTTCACGAGGCAGACCATCTGAAACACGATGGTGATTCCCATCCGGCCAACGCAGGCGACCGCGACGTTCAGCCAATGCAGCTCTATGGAGGGGACACAAACAGAGTGTGGGAAGAATGGCACAACTCACCAAGTTAGGACAAGAAACCACATCAGATGAGGTTTAGACTTTCAGAGCTAGAAGGGCCCAAAAGTTAGTTGTATTTGAATGGTTCCTCTCGGGATAAGAGAACAGAGTGCCAATCAGATCCCAGGACTTGATAACGGCCCACGGGGGGAGGGTCTCTCGTACAGAGGAAAGGAGGGGCTTCTTTGGAATCTCAGGTCTGCCTCCTGCCAGGTGCATGAACTGGGACATGCTGGGTACTTCTTTGTGTCTTGGTTTCCTCATCTGTAAAATGGAAACCAGTTTACTCAGTTTATGGATTGTTTGGTGAATCAGAGATAAAATATGTCCAAACGTCCTTGGTGATGTTCCATAAATGTTGGCTTTAAAATCACGATACAATATTATTATAATGATAGCCACTAGCACCACACATGGACACAGTAGGTGCAATCAATGTAGTTCCTTTAGAAGAGTCCGGACAGTGTGTGGGGTACAAGTTGGGCCGCTAACTGCAAGGTCAGCAGTTTAAAACCACCAGTCCTCCCCAGGGAGAACGATTGAGGCTGTCTGCCCTGGCAAAGATTTACAGCCTCAGAAACCCATGGGGGCAGCTCTGTTCAACGCTACGGGGTTGCTATGAGTCTGAATTGACTGGGTGGCCGTGAATTTGGTTTTGTTTCATTTCGCGTTATTTTGTGTTGAAGAGTAGTTCCAGGAAGTGCACCAGATGTGCCCGTGTTCTAATTACCAATCTCGTGTACATTTCCCAGCATATTGTAACAAAACGCAAGCTCTCCTCAGAGATACAGTCAGTTAAGCCTCACCCTCACTGCCCTTGCGGCGAGTTAGGATCTAGACCACCGTCTTAAAGTGAGTATTGCAGTGGAGTGAGTCACACAATTCTTTGGCTTCTCCGTGTATATAAAAATTGAGTGTCCACTAAAGCTGTCTATTCCGTGTACAATAACATTATGAAGAAGTTTGGTCACCAGAATGACCAGAATGTACCACAGAGGCACAAAGTGAGTAGAGGCTGTCCGAGACATGGCACTGGGAGACTTGCCTGGTGGTGGGTTGCCAATGTGTACCAACCTTCCGTTTGTTTTAAAAAGCAAAGAAACGTCATGTTTGCAAAGCACAATGAAGCAAAGTGCAAGGAGACAAGGTACTCCTGTCACCTGGAGAGGGGACAGCACCCACAGACCACGCTGGAGTTCCCCCAAAGATGAGGAGAACAAGCCCCAAGACTCAATGGTGTTACTGAAAAAAAAGTAAATAAAAAACATATATGCCCATCCATTGAGTGTTACCCAGGATTCCAGCATCCTGCCGATCTCTCTGGCCTTGCAAAAATTTACAGCCTCAGAAACCCACAGGGTTTCTTGGGGAAGAAAAGGGGTGGATCTCCTCAGGAGATGTGGTCGGATCCTAATCTGATACCTGTGAATGTCTTGCTGTTTGGAAACGGCTTCCTTTTTTATGCTGATTAGACCCTATCAGAGCAAGGTGGGTTCTAAGTCTGGTCACTTCTGAGTTGTGAAATGAGCAGATCAGACACAGAGGCCTTGGAGTCCTCTGAGCCAACGGAAGGAACTGGCACCGCCAAGACCCTGAACTGTCCTCTTAGGCGCCAGAACTGTGGGGAAATGGATGTCCACTCTTCAAAGCCACACATTTCTACTGTTTCTCTTGCAGTCACACTGGGAAACGCCTCTCACTCGCTGCCCTCAAGTAATGCTGACTCACAGCGACTCCCTGCCGCTTCCCAAGACGGTAACAGCTTATGGAGGGAGCAAGCCCAGTCTTTCTCCAAGGGAGCTGCTGGTGGCTTTGACCTGCCAACCACGTGGAACAGTGGGTAAAATCTAGTTGAAACCCGCTGTACCTTTTTCTTGTCGACATTGTTCTTCCCCACAAAAGAAGTGGAAGAAACTTAAACTTGCCTTCTCCAGCCCATTGAATCTCCGCCCTTAATGTCTTGCTCGGATTGTGTCCTTTACATAATGTCTTGAATTCCTAACATCCTAACCCCTACATTTGTGAGTGTGGTCTTCTTTGAGGAGATCAGGTGTTAGTTATCCAAATCAAACTCACTTCCATTGAGTCAAATCTGACTCATGGTGACCCTGTAGGACAGAGCAGAACTGCCTCTGTGGGTTTCCCAGGCTGTAACTCTTCACAGAAGTAGAAAGGTTCAGTCTTCCCCCCTCCGAGAGGCTGGTGGTTTCAAACTGCTGACCTTATGGTCAGCAACCCAACTCGTAACCACTACGCCACCAGGGCTCCTGTTATGGATAAGTTAACCATTTAGGTGTTTAACGTCAGGTGGGTCCCGATTCCGAACCTTTCAGAGCAGTGATGGTGAGAGGGGAGGGCAAACCCAAAAAGAGTCACACAGAGACGATAACGCGTGAGGGTCTGTCTGGAGGGATGGAGAGCCACGGAGCATCGCAACCACTAGAAATCAGGAGCAGGAAATGAAACAATCCCCCCCCCCCCACTCCCCGCACCACCCTCAGAAGGAACAGACCCAGTCAGTACCCGGGTTTGGAAGGTCTAGCCTACAGAACCAAGGGCCAATACATTTCTGCTCCATAAAGCCACCCACGCAGTGATATCTGTTATGGCAGCCCTAGGAAACCTAGACACTGCTCTATACAGCGTGGGTCTTGTGAAGACAGATTTCACGGAGCATTTCCCACAATGCATTGCACAAAAGTCTGCCCGAATGACTCATTAAAGCAACAAGTGCAAAGTACAAGCAATAAAAACCAAGAAATAGCAAATCCACCTCAGTATTTATTCAACAGCATTTCCAAAAGCAACGAATGTGAAAGGCAAGTTTATGCCCTCAAATTAAAGCTGACTGAAAATAATCTGCTTTGATTTACCTTGGGCTGTGAGAATGATAAGTTATATACTAAAATACACACCTGCTGCCATCAAGTCTGTTCTGACTCATAGCAACCCTCTAGGACCGAATACAAAACGTGCCATAGAGTTTGCAAGATGGACAATCTTTATGGGAGCAGGAAGCCACATCTTTCTCCCAAGGAGCACAGGTGGACTTGAACCACTTGTACTTTGTGAGTAGCAATCTAATTCCCTGTACCCCTTGCATCCTTGAGGCTCCTTAAGAATTCATCCATACAGCCAATATTGAAAAGACTATCGATCCAGACATTCTGGATCCATGAGGGCTAAGCAAATTCCTGAAATTATTAGCCTGAATTAATCTTTGGAATGTAAACCAAAAATGTGCCCTGAAATCTTCTTAAAACCAAACAATAGATTAGCCTGACTGGTAATGAACGTCTTCTCTTCCCAGATCAACCTTCATGGGACCAAGGTGACGGCAGCAACTTAGGATATTCGACAAGAACCACGGGGGATAGTGAGTTTATATTCATGGGGAGTTACAGCTCAGAAAAGGAGAGTGTGTGTGGTGGCCCAGCTTGAAAAATGCCATCAAAGCCACTGAATTGTACATGGAGAAACTGTTTCATGGGTGTATATTTTGCTGTGTAAATGCTCAATGATGCTGAAAATAAATAAGATGAATTATGTTTATATCTTAGAAAGACGTGTACAATCAAGTGCTGTTGGGGATGTGGATCACTTGGAACTCTCAGCCACGCTGGTGGTGGGGACGCAACTTTGGAAACTCCTGGGTTGTGCCCACCCAAGCTAAATATCTGCCTGCCTGTGCACCCAGAAAATATGCACTTATTACATGTGGACCGAGACGTGTGCCCAAAGACTATGCCCTCCCTCCCCTATTTTTGTGTGCCTCTGTTGCCTTTACTTCTTATAAACTTCTCAAGAATAGCTATGCATTTTATAAAGGTAGTGTATTAGTCTGGGTACTTTGGAGAAACAAATCCACAGCAACTCATGTATAAGAGAGAGTTTTATGTAAAGAAAATGTGCATCACGAAAACATCCCAACCCAATGCTGCCCAAGCCCACAAGTCCAACATTAACCCATTAACCCAACACCAGTCCACAAAGTCCTCCACCTCACAAAACAGAAGCAATGATGCTGACTGCAGGAGGAAAACTGAGTCAGTGAACAAATAAGCATCTCAGCACTAGCAGGGGTCTCCACACTGCTGCTCCAGCACCCAGGGCTGCATCGGAATGGGTCCATGTGGCTTCTCCTTGGGGATGTCTTGTAGGAAGTCAATCTTGCAAGCTGAAGCAGGGAACTGCTAACCCAGCTGCACCCGGTGCAACCATCACAAAGCAAGAGACCCAAAAACTAGAAAGGCGAGGCTCACCACCCATTTATCCCTCCGCCTTTCAATTAGCCCCACATGTGATTATTGGCCAGGCTGGCACAATTAACTAACTCAGGTAGTTAGATATAATGATGATTAAGCCCATATAGCAGGGGAAGTCCATCTAAATGTTTGAATATAAAAAAAAAAACTAGAGAAAAGTATAAAAGTGGCAATGAAACACAGATTTAAAAGGCAAATATCCAACAAAGGAAAGATTCCCCACACATATGACAGTTAACATCCTTAATATAAAATGAACGCATACAAATAAGATAAGGGTGGGGGGGGCGCTAAGATTCCAATTTTAAGATTAGTAAAATAGGAAGGGCAGACATTTCCAAGGGAGAGAGAAGTTGAGACAGGGAGAAAATAGATCTGTACCCGACAGATATGCAAGAGAACGCTTTGCCCCTTTAATCCAAGAGATGCTAGAAACAAGATAAAAGCCAGCCAACAGTAGAATGGGTCGACAGTGTGCCATTCCCATCATGAAATGCTACACAACCATGAAAGAGTGTAGGCCACACTCTCATGCGGGCATGTGGTAAAGTGGGTGGGAGGGGCAGCGACAAAGAGGACGGTCCTCCAGGAGACAGACTGACACCGTGACTGCAGCCATGGGCTCGAGCCATGGGAACAATGATGAGGATGTCGCGGGACTGGGCAGTGTTTTGTTCCTCGTGCGCAGAGGTGCTCTGGGTCAGAAAGAGCCCAATGGCACCCAACAGCAACACTCTGATGTAACCACATGAATGAATCTCACAGATATGAGGATGAGTGGATAATGTTGGCAGGGGGGAGGGGGAGGGAGGAGAGGGATGAAGAAGCTTATTTAGAACCGTTCCATTCATTGACATGATGTACAAGGACAGTCAAAGGTGTCCTGACAAAGGGGAGAGTTCTGGTTATACTGGCTGAGCAGCAGCTATTGATTGGGAAGACCCTTGAGGGAAACTCCTGGGGTGTTGGAGATGTGCTCTGTCTTTGTCTGGGTTGTGGTACCTAAGGGTATGTTGATGCTGTTGTTGCTGACAGATTGATTCTGATGCATGCTAACCCCATGTGTGCAGAATAGCACTGCTTCCAGGGCTCATAAGGCTGTGACCTTTCAGAAGCCAATTGCCCGGCCTGTCTTCCAAGGTGCCTCAGGATAGGATTGAACCACAAACCTTGTGGCTAGAAGTCAAACTCTTATACAAGGGGCTTCAAAAAGTTTATGGGGAAAAAATGGAAATGAGAAACCATGGACTTTTTCCATAAAATTTTTGAAGTCCAGTCATAGATGCAAAATTTCACTGAGTCGTATATACTTCTGTGGTCATTGTACATATGTTATACCTTGACTTAAATTTTAAAGAATCATTTAAAGACTCTGTGTTCTTGATCCAGAGGTTTACCCAAAGCATTCGAACACTGGAAGATCATAAGAAATGGACAAACTCACCATGGGAGACAAAAATCATGGTGAAGCAGGCTGCCCCTGCCATCAGATTTGACACAGCCAGCGGGTAGAGGCGGCCGATGCGGTCCACAGTGAGGATGATGAAGAAGGAGGCGGGGAACTCAACCAGGGCAGAGTAGAGGAAGTCCAGGTAGAGGCTCCCACCGGAGGCACCCATGTGCATGATGAGGCCCTGGTAAATCACAGAGCTGGTGAACCTGAGCAAGAAGAGAATGCACATCAACGGCAAGCACTGTGGCTTAGGAGGCGCCAAGAACTGCTGGTGGCAGGCAAGAAGGCCGCACCCCCGGGAGAGAGAGACGCAGTGGATGTCATGCGGCAGAATGAAAGGGGAGAGAAGCGTCAGGAGGGAGTCACACGTCACCTTGAGGAGAAATCCAGTACACAAGTTACGTGAGAATAGTAAGACTTTCAGTAATGAGCACTGCTACTCACGTAGGGCACACAGTGCTGAGCTCTGGGCTAACGTCACTCCCAGCAGCCTACGAGGGGGGCTGATAGAGAATGCAGGTCAGTGAGGTCAGTGAGCAGGCTCAACCTTTATTGCTGCGTGGCTGTGCGTAAACTATCCAGCTTCTCTATGCCTTGATTCCGTTATATGCAAGCTTTTGTCCCATGGAAATAATAGGAGGACCCACCACGTCTGTTCTTCTTCATCTAAGCCAGCTTCTCTGAGGATTTGCTCAGCATACAGAAGGGTGAGAGAAAAAAGAATGTGGCACCAGGATTGGAGCAAGACTCTGTAACAACCTGCTCTATGCAGATGACACAGCACTGCTTGCTGAAAATGAGCAGGACTTAAAGCCCTTGCTGATGAAGATCGAGATTTCGGCCTTCAGTGTGAATTGTGACTCAAGGTACAGAAGACAAAAATGCAACTGGACCAGAAGGTAACATCGCGATAAACGGAGAAAGGGCTGAAGTTGTCCAGGATTTTGTCTGGCCTGGATCCGTAACCAACGTTCATGGAAGCAGCAGTCAAAGATCAAAAGATGAGTTGCACCAAGTAAATCTGCTGAATAAGACCTCTTTAGAGTGCTGAAAAGCAGCGATGTCACTTTTGAGGAGCCAGGTGTGCCTGACCTAAGCCATGGTCTTCTCAATGGCCTCTTGGCAGGTGAACGTCGGACATTGAATAAGGAAGACTAAAGGACGTGAATGCATCTTCGTGGTGCTGGAGAAGAACATTGGAAGCCCCATGGACTGCCAAAAGGACCAACAAATCTGTCTGGGAAGAAGCACAGCTAGAATGCTCCTCTTAAGCAAGGATGGGGAGACTTTGTCTCACATGCGCTGAACGTGTTACCAGGAGAGACCAGTTTCTGGCAAAGCACGTCGCCTGGTAAAGTGGAGCAGCAGCAGAAACAAGGAAGAGCCTCAATGAGATGAACTGGCGTAGTGGCGGCCACCTACTGCCCCAGGACTCCCAGGAAAGGAGAGGAAGTGGTCCAGAGCCACTCCTAGGGAAAGATGGGGGGGATCTGTATAGCAGCCCACCGTGGGGGCCGGGGCCCGCTTTCAAAGGCATTGCTGTGTAGAGACACCCACACAGGAGAGGGGGTGAGCAACGAGGGCAGGGCAGGGCAGGGGGAGCCTGGTGCGCTACAGAGGGAGGGAGGGGCAGTCTGGAAAATCGTGGTTATATATTCAACCCTCAGCAAATATTTATTGAGTATCTATGTACTGTGTGCCTGCCCAGTGGTACAAACACTTTGTTCTAATCAAAGTCTTGCACAGCACTATAAACAGGCTGGAGAGGGAGGTCCAGGGCCCAGGGGCTCCACTCGAGGGGTGCAGGGGGCAATTGTAAAGTTGGCTGGAGATTTAAGAGGCTGATGGTTATTAGAAGGGCTGACCATTCTCACCACTAGATGGAAATTGGCAGTCACCCAAGCCCAGGGAGGGCTCACTCCCCCCGCGGCACCGGCTCCTGGGAGCTGTGAGGTTCTGGCACGGGAGGGCAGGTGGGTCCACGTGCACCTTTGGGAACTTCTAGTCAATAGTCAACAAAAGCACCAGGACTCTCAGGTAGGGGCTGTCAGGTGTTCATCTGCATGACAAGGCTCTGTACCCCGAGACTCCACAAAGTGGCAGACTCAGGGGGCCTCCGCCTGTCTCACTCTTCTCCCTGTGAACCTCTCACGTCTAACAACCCCTCGCTTCCATCCTCCCGGAGAAGTCAGAATGTCGTTTTAAGAGGAGCTCTAGAGCCCCACGTGTGGTAGTGGACACGGAGTAGTTGCTGGAAACCAGCAGCAGCCCCTCTGGAGAAAGGGTGGGCGTCCCACTCCCTGAAGACGGGGTCAGTCCTCCCCTGCCCCAGACAGTCTCTTTGGCGTTGGGCTCGAGGACTGCTGGCCGCAGTTCCATCAGTTCAAAACCACCAGCAGCTCCGAGGGAGAAAGAGGAGGCTTTTTGCTCCGTCAAGAGCTCCAGCCTCGGAAACCTGTGGTGAGTCAGGATGGCTGGGTTGGCACGGAGGGAGTGGACGCTGGATGGACTGCGGGGCAGCACAGAACAGCCACTCCGGGGCTTAGGGGCAGCCAGCCGGGTCCCTGTCCTGAGCAGCGGCTGGCGGCTCAGCACACTTGACCCCCGTGCCCCCCATGGCTCCTGCTGAGCGCGTGG